AAATTAAGTGTTCCTTCCTTGGCTATGCTTTTCACACATAACAATGACACTAGCCAAACCAGTTAAGAAACAAAAATAATTCTACAAAAAAAGCCTGAAACTGAAAAGTGCTCAGAATTATTCAATCACACAGTGTTCAGAAAGTGCATTGTCCTCTATTCTGCACTTTAGATGAATGACTGCTTAGGTGCCACTGGTGGTGGCACTGTATGGATACTTTTAAAAACGAGTATTGTATCCAGATAATACGTTTCAGTATTGATACTTTTTTGAGTATCGATACTTTTGACAACCCTATCAATTTTTATAAATTCATATGATGTGAATTTCTGGAATGTTCTTTGGGATTCTGTCTCTCACTGTTAGAGTGTACATATGATTAAAATTGTAAATTGTTGCATTCTTTGTAAGTGGACAATCCTGCAAAATCAGCAAGGGGTCAAATACTTATTTACCCCACTGTTTGTGTGTATGTATGTATGTATGTATGTATATATGTATGTATATATATATATATATATATATATATATATATGTGTGCAAAAACCTGGGATCCATCACCATAAAGAAAGAGGGATAAGTACCACTCTCAGGGGGATAGCATGCCACTCCGTGCTTTTCTGCCAGATAGAGATGTGATCGGCTCTGCCTCCGGCAGTCCTCCCTCCACCAGCAGCTGAAGAAGAAACAATAGAAGTGGTGATGTAGTGATGCTGTAAACAGAGTCTAAGACTTAAATGCATCACGCATGTGACTTACTGCAAGAAAGAACACAACACCATGATGAGGACACAGCCGATCACACACAGGACCAGAGCTGTGGCCACGGCCTGCTTTCTGTGGTTTGTTGCTACCACAGCGAGCAGGTCTGCATGTTCACACCTCATCCCAACAAATCCTGGATGACACCTGCAAACCAGATGGAAGACCTAAATGAACATTAGAAGGTCCTGTTTATGTCCAGTTAAACATTGGCTGGGTGAAGCTGGAAAACCTCCAACAATAATAGAATAAGAGAAATCAATGAAACCCTCCAAGAAACAAACTAAGTTATTAAAAACATCTACGATAGAGGTGAATACACAAAAAGACAATGTCTTATATAATAAATTATTTTCCTGTCACTGTCATTTATTAGAAAGGATGCCTCCCCCAAAAATAAGACAAATCTTAAACTAAAGAAATATGAGTAAAAATAAAAAAATTATGGAGCTATAAAACGTAAATCTAGACAGGCGAATGTGCAAAAGAGTTAACAGAAAAAGCTGTGTAAAACTGTACATGAGCAAATCACATAAATGGACAGTTTATCAGCTACAGATCAGATCAGATTCTCCCAGTATTGCCTTGATAAGGTTAACTCTAGTGCGGAACAATTAATCGAATTAATCGTGATTAATCGATTATTGAAATAATCGTCAACTGATTTAGCAATCGATTAATCATTAACTGGAGTATAGAGACTCTAAAACATGCCTTTAGCTGACAGAGCAACCCACTTAGAGTAGGAATTATATCAAAAGTGTTAAAAAAAAAATTATGTAAACATGTTGCATTTTAGATTAAAAAAATATGTGATAAAAATGTATGTCAATATGTTCTATCCAGAAGACCTGAAGTGGAAAAATTCTAGTTTCATCTGGTTTAATTTCGTAAAAAAAAAAAAACTTCTTTAAGCAACCTTTTGATATCTGAGTATAGATTAATTGAAAAAATATTTGACAGATTAATCTATTTGCAAAATAATCTTTAGTTGCAGCCCTAGTTAACTCAGTCTTTTTGGTCTACATTTTCCCTTTTTAAGTTCAGTAATACTAAGATAAAGAGTGGAGCATAATCACTGTAAATCAAGGGGGTATTCAAGTTGTTACTTTATTACGTTGGATTCTAAACTATTATCTTTAACCAGACCAAAATAAAGCCTGGTATGAGTAGTGGCTACATTGGAAAAAAAACTGAAATCTAAATAAGTAATTTTGTCTTAAAATAAGTGCTTTTTTTTTTTTCTTGAATTGAGGAGTTAAGAGAGACACTTAGACAATTTACATTAAAAAAAAAATAAAAAAAAATGCGTTAACTTATTTCAAGTGCGTTGTATCTACTTAACATATTTTAATAACATACTTATTCAATTGGCAAATCTTATTTACCTTATTAATTTATCTCAAATTAGAGGTAAATACACCTGATATAAGAAATTTTTACTTATTTTTAGATCGTTTTTCCAATGTAAAAAATGCCTAAAAGAGGCGGCAATAAACAATATAAAGTCATATCATCAAGTAAAAAACATCTTCACCTTAATATGAAAACCAAACATAAATTTAAGAAGAACATATGTCCATATAAATTCCAAGAAAGATGTAAAACTAAAAATATATTGTCTGGACTTTCATTTAAAAACAGTTTAAGCCATGTTCAAATCCTCATGTAACCAGAGGACCATACTGTAAACCTGGGTCTAACGCATATACTACTTTAAATGCACTGGTGGAAAAATATTAAATCTGCAACTACAAAAGTTAAGTGCTTTTTATTTATTCATGTTTTTAATTGAAAATCAGCAACAATGTAGGAATTTTGTGTTTTCTAGCTTTTTTTTTTGTTTACTTATTTAGCAAAGTTTGACTGAAGTTGTTTTATCTTTCATTCCTGGGATTGCATACTGAAACTACACACCCTAAAACTAACTGCAGCCTTCCAGCACCAACAGCTTTAGATCTTAAAATTTCACTAATGTCCTTGCCGGCAGATGGTTGTGCTTTGCTCCAACAGCATGTAGAACATGTAAAGCGCCAGCTTTGCTCTAGCAGCCCAGAGAGCTGTAAAGACACAACATACTCTAAAGCAATCGAAGCAGTTAGGTAAATAGGAGTGCATCCAGTTTGGAAATATGAGATTTAAAATAAAAGTTTTGGGAGTTTTAATTCTAAGAGCAATACTGTCGAATTTTAGTATAGGATTCCCAGTAAAGTTATGTGGAAGGATTTAATACCAACAATCTGTCAACTTACACACATGCAGGCGTCTCCTCCAGAATCAGGAAGCGGCAAGTGCCATGAAAGCAGAAATGCTGATGGGAGTCAGGACAGTCGCTGAAATGAGAGCGAACAGCCGCAGCCACAAACTCTGGGAGGGCAACAAATAAAGTTTCCTTTGTTATTGTTTAGACAGATGGCGTCATTTGAAATGTGAAAACAATTTGAGTAAAAATGTCTATAGATTAACTAATAAATGCGAGTATCACCATCTACCAGCATCTCCAGAAAATAGATGCTTACACAAACCAAACATTTAAAAAGTTTACTTTTTTTTCTTCATTTAAGATGGTAAAGTGAGAATTATGTAAAATTATTTCTAAGATCAACATGTAAATAAGAGAGTTAGTCATGGAAGCTGATCCTCATCTGGTGCTCCAGGGCAGGGAGGCATTTACAAATGGGACAGGCCACACACACATGAAAAAAAAAAAAAAAATGTATAAACACGACAGGCCGTAGCAATAAACTATGGACAGTAAATCAAACAGGAAAAAAAACTAGACATACAGCACAGACCATGCCTCACACTATGATTCTATTTATTTTGTATTACTATAGGTATTTTATATTTTGCTGCTTTGTATTTTATGCCTCATATTGTAGAATATTTTTTGATGCTTGTCTGAGAAAGGTGCTATATAAATAAACCATACTTACTTAGACCATACCATAAAAGACAGTTTAGACACAAAATATTATTATTTTAGGTCTAATTATGCAGGAGCAAAAGGAGCACTGTAGACACCTATTGCCAAACTCCTTCCTGCCCGAGGTGAGCCGATGATATGACAAGTCACATACCTCAGAAATTGTATCAGAGATGAAAACCATCCTACCTCAGAAAAAACTTGCTATTTCAAAAGATTGTTCAGCTGAAATTTCAGCCTTTCAGCTAAAGGCAAAGTTCATCAAAACCACATAACGTAAATCTGCAAACACCATTTCTACTCAATTTTCACCAAAACAATGTTTGGCACTTAAATTCTTTCCAATTTAATGCTTTTGTTCCTAAAATCTGATGGAGGTTGAATCTCAATCTTGTTTTTTGGCTCCAACCTTCTTTCCTCCCTTAAGTTTACTTTTCATATTTAAATGTACAGTAGAACAAGGTGCTTTAGAGTTTGACTCTCTTTATCAGTTAACATTTAAAATAAATACAATTATTTCCTAGTAAAATGTTTCCCCTTTAGTTATAGATACTTGTTTTTGGAAGTCATTATGTTGACTGGTTTATGTATTTATTTTCCTTATTAAGTAGCATAAGAAAGGGATTACTTGCTAGAAGGAATGATTAACTCTTCCTGTTTTCTTTTCTTTTCCATCAACACTTCAATTGATGAATCTTTGCAAAGATAATGAAAGCAGTTTAAAAGTTTAAAAATATACTCTAATGTCAGGTTCCTATTTTATTTCAACATGAAGATAAAGATCAGTAATTGTTGTCTAACTGCTCAATGAAAATTTTAATTTATCCACCTTAATATTAATTCATATTCCTCAGACCCGCAGAACTGACCACAATAATCCAGCAACAGGAACAATAACATCGAAACTAGAACCACTTAAAGACAATGACGAGATTTTCCAAAGATCCCACTGACTTGAAGTAATCTAAGAAAGATGTTCTTTAATATAATTTAGGAGTTAAAGACAATTTCTCACTAAATTTGTGTGGCAGTCAACTATGCAGTAAGGTGCAAAGTCTTGAAAACATCATGTTGCTTTATGCTGGAAACGAAATTTGATTGTAACGGGTTATTTTAACAAGAAACCATCTCAAACGCACCAGCATCCAAGCATCTTTATCCATATCAGCTAAATCGATGTTGTTAATTGCACCCAATTATTGGGTCCAGTTTTATCAATCGGATCATAAATCAAATTGAAAAAAAAAAAGAAATGCAGAGAAACTGGATATTATAGTTTAACTGTCCTGGGCTGGTTTAGCTGGTGCAACATGGACATGAAGCAGCTTTTAGGAACCCAAGTTTACAGTTACAGAACTTTATGGTATTCCCATAAAAGACAAACTTTGAAGCATTTTTCCTACAGTAAAAACAGTTTATAAAGAGACGTTTACCTGGGAACAGATTTAATTACCTTTGTTGTCATGTTCTGTTTTATAATATGTTAGTATTTTCAATTAATCTGTAAGGAAATGAAAGCTGTTGTGAGAATTCAGAGCTTTACTCTTTTGTTTTTTTTATATTTTAGTTTTATCAGTTTGATGGTTTTGTTTCAGCCACACAAAAGTGAAGATCTTTGTTAGTTTTTTGTTATTTTGTAAATATAAAATAACCTTAAACTGGTTTGCTTTGATTAAAAATAACCCGATCCACATAACATGGCACCAACAATGACAAATCTTAAAATAAAAATAAAGCTTGTTAGAGGCCTGAAACAGACTTGTAACACAGCCTAAAGCTGACACCCACACACCACCAGTAATAAGGCGGCTAAGGTTTTACTTCTATCAAGTCCTGAACGACATCTTTCACTGTACCTGGAAGGCAAAAGAAAAAAAAAAAAAAAAACAGCCAAAGAACGCTGTTAAAATAAGAGGTAAAAAAAAGCTCTGCCCATCAGGTGTTAGGTTTTATAAAAAGCATATCCCTACAGCAACAGCTTCTCGGAAGAAATAAAACCCTGTTCAGCAGGTTTTTGTTGTCTATTATAAAGCGGCTATCTTAATTTACACCCTGACGAACAAAACACCAGATCGAGTCAACAAACAGCCAGGCTAAGCAGAACATTTCTCACATGTAAGCGATGAGTTGTTGCTTAAGCACCAGTAACAGATGCCACAGTGAGGCTCTTAGAGTGACAACGAGGATGAACATCCAGATAGATAGTTGCATTACAAACCTCGTCACACTCTCCATTCCAACGGTAAATGGGAGTTTGGATCACAGCCTGCATGCATTGTTTCAGTCCTTCAGACTCCATGAAAGCACCCTGTTGTCCTGCAGGCATCTGCCTACCAAGCCCTCTCTTTCCATGTGATTTTGGCAGCCGAACCCAAGTAACGCTGACACAAAAAACAGCTCTTGAGGGAAAGTAGCTTGCTTTTCACACAATAGTTCAATACTGTATCACCAGCATTGGGGAAATAGCTGAATGTACAACTCATCATTGTTAATTCATTAAAACTGCAGCCTTTAGGACCACTTATCAGCATTTGCAACACAGTGTAACAAGCAGCAGCAGGGATCTCCCATGGGGATCTAGCATGGTTGTGAGAGTATAACTTACTTTTAACTGGATGTTTGCTGGTCGTTGCAGCAGGTTTTCTGGTTGTCAAACTTGTGCTGCTGGTCGCCGAGGAGCTGCTTGTCATATAAGTAACAGCAGCAGAGGAATTAAGAGTAGCTGTAAAAATTTTTACTGTTGTATTTCTTTGCTCCGCTTCTGATGAATCAAGAGAACCTGGGGAAAATGCAAAGACACAAAGTCAGATAAATTTCAATAGAGAGCAGAACAAAAACCAAAGAATCTACCTTTAGGCATCATTACAAATACTCCTCTTACTTTTTACTGTAAGAAAGTTAGCTGTAGTATTGCCTTTGTCACTGATAACCATAGAGCTGTGACTGGATGTGCCTGGAGCAGAGGTAATAGAAATATTGCCTTCAATTACAGATGAACCGCTGGGCCCTGCTCCAAATGAGAAGAAGGAACCTGCAAAGACAAAAAGATAATAATTCTCTTTCAGATATGTCATCCTTACCAGATAAAATGTAAACATTTCCTCCCAAAACAACATCCTCCTTGTTTGGTTTAAAAAGATTTTTTTTTCTATTAGAGACACTTGCAATACTGTTTCAAGGATGCTCTAGCTGAGCCAGTCGTAAACACCCCCACCCCACCACTCATCCCTGCACAGTCCTCGTTTTCTACATTGATGATTCGGTGGTGCTGTTCTTCCCAGCTGGGAATTAAAAGTTGTCTCCTTTTAGATAAGTTTTCATCACTTTCCAGCTCACTTCCAGCTTCCAGATCACTTTTCCAGCTAGGAAATATTTCTAGGTTTCAAACTCTGGTCTCAAAGCCTAAATTAAAGATGATTATTCATTATTTAATTTAATCTGGTCTAAATAAGTCTAAAAGCTTTTTTTATTTTTTTAATTAAGAAGGGCCTAGAATGTTGATGGCTCCAGGTTCTACTATATATGCTTTTAAAGAAACACAAAATAAAGTACATTGCTTCAGTTTTAACCCATCTACATTAGCTATCCATACATTTTATCACCCCCCCACCCCCCCATCAATGTGCTTACAAGTTGTTGAAGGGGTTTGCAGTGTTGCTTTTCTGCTATTCTATTAGGTATCAATGGATGGAAGGAACAGTTGCATTAATGGGTGATGGTTAACAAATGTTCTGTAAAATGTTCAGAGTTTCCCTGCAAACTGTCTGTTGGGTTCCTCTTCTGCAATGATGTAATTTGTTCATTAATGCTCTTAAATAAATTAAACTACATCTGAAGGCATTTGGTTGTGCTGGAGTTTATTCAAGGGTTTCAGTGTAAAAAGGAACTGAACATAAATGCATGTTCCACTTAGAATGTGAAAAATGTTTTAAAACCATTTAGCCTTTCCCTTACAATTGTGTACTTCTTTGTGGGGATATATACCAGAGGTTTGCAACCTTTATAATCCAAACAGCTGGTCGGAAATAATGAAAATATTACAGGGAGATTATAGGAAAATACAGGTATTTTTAATGCAATAACTTTGATGAAACTCAATGCAGTAAAAAGACAGGGAACAATGCAAAGCAAAATATCTGAATATTGATTCCTTATACTTGTTAGCCAAAGTTATTAAGGGCCACAGGTTGCAGACTCACCTAGTCTATGACTTACAGTCCCCCCAAAAAAATAAATAAATAGGAGTTTGCATGTTCTCCCCGAGCATGCATGGGTTCTCTCCAGGTACTCTGGCTTTTTCCCATAGTCCACAAACATGACTATTAAGTTAATTGGCTTCTCTAGATTCTCCTTAGGTGTGAGTGTGAATGGTTGTTTGTGTCGTTTGTCTCTTTGTTGCCCTGCAATGGTGAAGATAGGCACCAGCACCCCTTGTGACACTTGGAATAAGTGTGACAGAATATATATATATATATATATATATACACACAGAGACTTAAAACTATGAGCTAAATGCACATTTAAATAGAACCATGAAAGCAATCATGTACAAAACCTGCATGACACTGAAAGTTTTCTATCATTGTTCCTCATTCACTTTACCTGATACCAAACAATGGTTTACAAGGTCGAGCACCACTAAAAGGATGAGACCAAAGCACTATAAATACACACCAGGTCGACGACATGCAATCACAACTAAAGGCTGAAAAGCTGAAGGACAACACATTATTGTTTGTAGTCTTTAAATCACAACATAGCGCAAGTCAAACTTTTTTTAAAAATAAACTGTGTGGTCATTTTTTGTTATAAGGAAGGCACACTAAGATCTTGTTGTTGTTTGTTTATTAAACACTTTTCTGGATCATTTAAACTTTACATTTCAAATTAAACCCAGACCCAAAGACTTACCGCTTATTAGGAATATGGCATCCCAGAAAATCCGAGTCATTGTGCCGACAGAGGGATCCGAGGAGCGGCTTCAGAGAAATGAGCGCGTGCTGAGGAACCACATGAGGATTGAAGCAGCAGCGATGATGGGAATTTAATCCGACAATCACGGGGCTAAAGTCACCATCAGATCCAAAGAGTGAAATGAACACAAGTGTTTTTAAAACAGCTACAGTCTGGTTTATAGTATCTTCTCTCCTCTGTCAGCCTGCTGCTCAATTTAGAAAACTCCCATAATCCTGTCAGAGAAGACCAATTAGACACTAGTGGGGGAGGGGGGATGAGCGCTCCCACTCTGACCTCAATATCAATCACTGTTTGATCCACATACATTTCAACGCGTGACACTCCAGTCTAACATTGCTGTCTGACTGAGTTGAATTGTCTTTTATTCTTAGTAGGAAAATTCACATATATACACAACAAATGGAAAGGTAAATCCAAGCATGCTTATACACACCATGAGACAATTAAAACATAAAATATGTATATAAAATAACAGTTAAACACTAAGTACATCGAATTTAGGAGAAAAACAAAAACTTTATATGTACTAAAAATCTCAGTGCAACTGAGCTAAACAAAAAAATTCAAAAGGCATTTAATATGTGTGTTTGTGCAACACTGAGCAACAGTTAACAAGAAAATGATGCAACTAGCAGAAAATGGATTATAGTTTTTTATATGGATTTATATTATCTCAATATAGATGTCTATAACCGAACATCAGTTAACTTGTGAACAAAAATGTCTAATCGTTTAACATATATAGGGATTTTAACCCCTAAAGAGTATTTTTTTTAAAAACTGTATTCATCTAGATCAGTTTTCTGAAAATCTTTTGAAAGGCAGACAAAAAAAATTGATATAACCTTGTCTGAGGTCCTATAACTTAACAATTTCTACACTTATTTTCTTTCAGCTGCGGTTATTTTTTAAGAGTTTTGTTTTTTCCTCTAAATTTAGGCTCAACTGTATTTTTATCTACCTTCTGTTCGATCATCTGCCCATTCATTTTGCTGACAACATTATATCTATATCATCTGGACAGAATTCTTTGAAATGTGGATATCTGTGAAAATTCCTAAAGTGGTAATTGACTTTGTCTTATTTCTCAAGACATGATATTATCAGACAATATATGCCTATAATATGTTAATAAAACATATAAGATGGATAAGAAAAAGACTGATCAAGACAGGCTTTTCAGTACAATGAAATCATTGATAGCTAAATTAACACGTTTCTTAAAGACAGATTATTCTGTTTGTTTAAAACAGAAATAAAATAGTAATAAATAGTTCTTTCTAGGTATTTTTTATCAGCATCTTTGTTTAAAAACACCTTTAGGTCAAGCTCCTGGAACTGGAAGTGATGGGCAGAGTAAATCTTAATCAGATTTTCCTAAGACCTTGTTTTTTGCTGACAAAGTAATTAATTTGCCTATGGATTCAAAGTACTGTTCTTCTTTTGTTGGACCTAACTCAGCCTTTAGTCCAAGTTGCATGAGTGGATTTTTAAAAGCAGCTAATCTTTTGTTTTTCCAAAGGCTCTCGTTCTTTAATTAATTAAATTGTTTACTTTTATTTATTTATTTTTGTGCACCTCTTGAGGTCAAAACTGTTTACTTTTGGTCCCTTCAGAATAAAAGCATTTAATTTAATATGACTTGATTCGAAATAAAGTTTAAAAGCAAATCCACTTCTATCATTTTTACAAGATAAGCTGAAGAAGCTGATTTAAAAAAATCTGATAAATATAATTGACTCCCAAATATTCATTCTAAGCTTCTCTAAATGTCCACAGTGGTTTCCACCAGATCATCTAGTTTAAACAGCAGTGTTGAGTCCAGCAGGAGTGTGGTAACAGCTCCATCTTCTGGATAAATTAGAATATGGTCATAAAACATTAGTTTTAACTCCTTAACCCACGCACTGGTTTTAGCATGGTCACAAAATGTGGACTTCACCTTTTTTAAGTAGTCTGCAACTTACTTCTCACCTGCTTTCAATTTGATGTATTTTAAAATGTTGGCATTCTGGGTTTTGGTGATAAACATCTCAGCACTGTGACTGTTCCACAATTCAAAACCAAAGCAGTTCAAACATCTTATAGTGTTTTTTTTCTCTCCCACTTTCTAGATCCTGTTGGTTATACATATATATGTTTTCTCAACTATTTTCATCATTCACACAGTATAAAAAAATTAAAATGATTACGCAACCATCTGTTGAGTGGCCCAACCACGTCACACTGAATATAAATTATGCTGGTATTGGAGATTGGCTTCCAAGAAAAATTTGGTCCTCAGCCATGTAGGGAAACCCCTAGGCCAGAGCTCATATGTGCTTTTCCTTTTAAGCCAAGCGCTAGTGGGCTAAGAACAGAGAAGTATGTAATCTACGGTGGGTCTATCTGGACCACAAACATCAAGCATCTGCTTTTAGAGAACATTTTCAGTCTTTGGCATGTGTAATTACACGCATCATGCAGAAGTGAGTAACACAAAAGAAAAATAATCTGCAGTTAGAGCAGAGGCTGACATCACAACCCTGCTGCTGAAGATATTGATCACATAGGTATAAAAGAGCAGGACTATACACAGATTGCTGAAAAGTAACAACTTGATGGTGTGGAATGACATAAGTCCTGTGTATCTAAAGCAATACAGCAACTTATGGCTTCAAGAAATTCAGCCACAGTGATAGATGAATGCAGACTTCACTTCACAAAACAAGTGCCCAAATCGGCATTAGGGAATAGGAAGGACACCAAGATGGATCTTAGAGGAATGCCACCAGGATTTTTTTTGGTTTCTAATTTAATGTTTGCTACTGACACAAAAAAGTCCCTGTCCTTCAAGTAGTGTTTAAACCAGTGCAGTGCTCTACTAGGAAGGCAGAGTGATCAACAATGTTGAAAGCTGCTGTAAGGTCCAATGATACCAGTACTGCGGTTCTTCCATAGTCTGAATTTATCTTATTAAACACCTTGACAAAAGCAGTCTCTGTACTCTGCTGAGCATGAAAGGCATAAACGACGCAGAAGCAGCTGGTCATGGTTATTGTCATGGTCATGACAATGGTCATGGTTGTAACAGCTTTGTCATTTATCTTACCAATGAAGGTTAAGTTTGAGATAGGCCTGTAGTTGTGTAGTACCAGCTTGTTCTAGCTGCAATTTTTCAACTGTTGTTTGATAACTACTGTTTCTAGGGCTTGGGGAGAAACACCTGATAAAAGGGACATCTTTATTATTTGAATTAAATCAGATGATATGATCGCCAGTATTTTCTTACGGAAGACAGCAGCAAGAAGAGCTTAGCTGGTGTACGATTGCATCAAAGTTTTTGTAGTTTATTTGGTGAAATTGGAAAGTTTTCTAAGCATAAGTTTGATTAGGAGTTTCTTTGTTTCTTGACTTGATATGGATGTACACACTACCCCTCTAAGTAAACATATTTGCTGCAAAGTGTAGATGCTTGATTATACAGTGCAAAGTATCTAATGTTATAGTGAACCTGCAGTCCAGTCTTTCACTAGATGTGTTTAGCTTTCAGCTTTTCGAAACTCAATTTTTTCACTTCAAAGTGGACCATGGAGACTTTTTCTTTGCTGACTTTGCCCAGTCAGGACAAAATGTTCTATTGAACATGTCTCACAGTGCCCAACGTGGCCTTCTATATCAGGGGTGATGCTACGAAAGTAGTCCATGCATTTGCATGGACAAAATGAAGTGGAAAAAAGAGATCATATTTCTCCTATTTTAGCTTCCCTTCATTGGCTTACTGTTAAATCCAGAGTAGAATTTGAAATCTTTTGTCTCGTGTATAAAGCCCTAAACCAACCTTGATCTTAGAACTGAGATCTGCTGGAGGTGTCTTCTTGTTAATGGGACTTTCTAATCTCAAGACATGCATGGGTGATTGCTGTAGAGTCACAACACAATGCAAACAAATTATCATTAGGTGGTGCAGTCCTGCAAAGTAAGAGACTCAAGCAATTATAGATAAAATTAAAAGACTTATTTAGAACATTTTTAACCAATATTACCATATGATTCTATTGAACTGTCTCTTTAAAGTGCTTTAAAGCGACATATGTTGTAAATTGGTGTTATATACATAAAGCAAGTACACAGACAGACAGACAGACAGACAGACAGACAGACAGACAGACAGACAGACAGACAGACAGACAGACAGACAGACAGACAGAGAGACAGACAGACAGACAGACAGACAGACAGACAGACAGATAGATAGATAGATAGATAGATAGATAGATAGATAGATAGATAGATAGATAGATAGATAGATAGATAGATAGAATAGAAATATAATTTATTGAGTTTCAGCGAATTGAAGCAAACTGAAGAATGGAGATACACATAGCAACACTAACCAAAGAATGAAAATGAGGAATATTAAAGTAAGATCCAATTTACCAAAAAGGCAAATATATAAATTATTTAAAGTAGCATACTCAGCTTCTAAGAAAGAAACTTTGAATCATAATTTAAAGTATAAAAGCTGTGCTCTGTATATGTATTTGTGCAAAAGTGACAAACTGTATAGCAAATGGAAAACTGTCGACAAAAAAAAATAACAGGGAAGTAAAGAATTTCTTGACTTTTTGAAGCAATAGTTAGAGTAGCTGCTGGAAGAAAGGATCTATAGATGCTTCTTTGTGGATTCAGCAGTCTGTCACACAGGGAGTTTTTTATTTCTTCGTCAGCTTCATGCATGGGTTGTGAGACAGTTTCAAAAAGTTAGTTGAAGGGGGACTTTGGATGGTAATATTATGTTTACTGCACAGTCATACAGCTGGCTGCTATTATCAAGTAATTAGTCCAAAACTTAAAAGACACATATGGTGAGCCATTAACCGATAGAAATGCGAATTAAGAATAAGATCTAAACTAAATGCATTGCTTATCGATGTTGGTTTTATCAGGAAATTATAAGTCAGTCTTTCATTCGGCCGTTATCTTAATAGCATCTGCCTCTTTGTGGGTGTGTTCAGTATCCCTGTTTAAATTCTTATCCTGATTTGAAACTCGTCTGGCTTGAAGGAAGAAGACAGAGTTTTCTTAGATAAATCATTGTTGTATTGTTTAAAGAAAGCAGATGGAACACCACATTGTTGTTTGGCTGTTAACATGTTAACTGATTCTTTAAGAACTGCAGCCAATCAAAAGAGGCCTAACTCTGCTGTATGCAAATATATTCTGCTTGCTGGTTCTCAGGTTGGAGCATTTCGAAATCACTGTTTTCAGTGGGCTGACCTCTTGTTCTGCTGGTCCTCAAGGCGTTATTTACACACCTTTTAAAGAATGACACCATCAGGGAGGCAGGAGGTAAATAATGCATTTTTTTAAATAATTTCTTTGCTGTAAAAAGTTTAAACTTGTGGGGTTTTGCTGCATACTTGACATGTACCCTTAGTTTAAATTATTCTATTTTTGTCCATGAGTCTGCAGAGTAATTTGCAAACCTAAATAAGAATCATACTAAAAATCATGGTTAAAAAAAATGGTTCTAATGATAATTTCTGACCACCTTTGCATCTCTACACATCCTAATTGAAAATATTTTACTCTTTGTTCTGACAGGGCAGTCCTCTGATATTGGTGTTGATGGTTGCCTCCGCAGCCATCGGAGGAACGCTTCAGTATGGCTACAATCTGGCAATAATGAACGCTCCAACCACTGTAAGTGTTGTCTGTATGAGGGATTTTCTGCAGTAAATAAGAGAATAGTTACATTAAACAATAGGTTGTTGAAGTGCTTTAAAAGTTACACGTTGTATCTCAATGACATGAAATGTAATGAATGGCTTTGTGAGATTTTCTTATTGCAAGTAAGGAGTTAGCAAAACCTGTGATCTAATATTTAGGTCAGACTGTGATTTGGCATAAGTGTGAATTGGGTCTGTTATGTCAGTGATTAGTCATTCTTGTAAAGATTTTGCTGAGCAAAGAAGGTGCACTTAAAATTAAAGAACCTAAATATTCTCTATGATGTATGCATAAATAAAACAACGCTAATAAGAAAGTCATTTGCATGTTAAAGGAATAAGAAATATTAAAGCATATACATGTTTTGTTTTGCTCACCTCAAAGTAAATCTATCTTGACGGATGTAATGAGTGCCAGACTTAACCACTGCTTTGACATTAGACATTTGATCCTTGCGTGTTCTTTTACAGTACATCCAAACTTTTATCAATGAGACGTTCCTCCAACGCTGGGACTTTCAGCTGGAGGACTACCAGGTGACGTTGGTGTGGACAATCATTGTCTCCATCTTCTCACTGGGGGGCTTTGCTGGAGCACTCATAGCGGGACCAATGACCATTCGCTTTGGGAGGTAAAGTGAATGATAAACCTGTTGCCGTAATCAGATATTGTTCATTTACCTCCAGTTTTAATCTGAGCACATGTGAATGGTGCTACTCTTTCATTTGGTAAATATATAACAAAGTTCAGTTTGCTGTGTTGTTCTGAATGAATCTGTCCTCACTGCCTTAAGCTGTTAATAAGCCTTTTTCACACCATTTCATGTTAAAACCAAAGACCCACGGGGAATATATCTGCTTAATTGTGCAGTGAAAAAGACTAATGTACAATTGTATTGATCCTCCAAGCGACTGGTCTCAAATGCAACCTAATCGGTTAATAGATTGACTTGCGTGTAATTAAATCTCAGTATAAATCCAATTGTTGTGTGCAGACCTGAAATAGTTGACAAACACAATTATGGAAACCAAGGAACACAGCAAACAGATCAGAGAGAATATAAGCATCTTGCAGAGCTCTGAACAACAATCTTCTGAAAATAAAACATCTGTGGCAAACCTTAGCTCATAAATTGGAATCCATTGAAGAAGGCTGTGGTTGAAGATATGGCAGAAAGATAAGTAGCTAGAGGCTGTAAAAAGACAAAACCGACAAAATACTGAACCAAACCATACAAAGTACAACAGAACATTCAAACATGGCCAATGGTTAGAATGGCTACACCACAGTGTAAAGCTAAATACAGCTGAGAATTTTAGCAAAATATGAAATGAAGATGCATCTCTAGATCCTCAAAGCTGATGGAATCCGAATGCAATCGTATTTTCGCTGTAACTGCAGCAAAACTCTGTTCTTAAAAGCATTGACTTAAATAGGCTGTGTACAAATATATTTTTTTCGTTATGCATCCCTTTGTCTTACTCTGTTATATAGAATCTGAGCAAAACAAGTGATATTGTTCTTGTTTCCATTAACAAAGGAAAAAATGTCTGCTGCTGAACAATATTTTCCTCATGAGCGGGGCACTCTTAGCCCTCACAAGTCGGGCTGCCAGGTCATTTGAGATGATCATACTCTCACGTGTGCTGATTGGAATAAATGCTGGTAGGGCAATTAAAGATTTCCCAAATTACTCGTGCGTGCATTCATTCACTTAGAGTTAGAGTTTATTTACAGCGATGCACGTTTGTTTTGCAGGAATCAGCATGAATGTACAACCCATGTATTTTGGGGAAAGTGCACCAAAGCACTTGAGAGGAGCCATATCGCTCTCATCGGCTGTTTTCACAGCATTTGGTGTTGTTTTGGGGCAGGTGGTCGGTCTCAGGTGTGCTATCGGAACATAGATTTTAAAAGTGTGTATACGTTTTTTCAAATGAATAAACAATTGTACCTTGTGTTCTTTTGAAAGGGAGATTTTGGGAGGTGAGTCATGCTGGGAATATCTGCTGGCCAGTAATGCTATTCCTGGCTTCATCCAGCTTCTGACTCTGCCCTGGTTCCCAGAGAGTCCCAGATACCTGCTTATCGACAGAGGGGACAAAGAGGCTTGTATCAACGGTACGTGTTGAAATCTAATCTATAAAATTGAAGCATAATTGTCACTCACATTCCGTTACTTTCAACAGTATTTTGGAATACCTGTTGAAACTTTTCAAATCGCTTAAAATTTAAAATACATAGCAAAAAACTGTGAAATAAAAAAATAAAATATATATATATATATTTATATATATATATATTAATTATACTACTAATTATTCATATATATTATTATATATTAAGACACCCTCCATATTTTCATCTTGTTTAAGTCACAGCTGATAGTTTTTTGGGGTATGACAGGCAGCTTCTGTACTAAAGATTTTCTGTCGTATTTAGGTCTGTACTTTGACAGGGCCAATCTATTGCATTGATATGATTTTTTTAAGCTGATACAAGGGCTCTCTTAATATTTCTGTAAGTAAATTAAAAATATAAACATAGGAGTAAAAACAGATTCGTACACACTGAAGTACCTCTTATTTACAGTCTGACTACATTAGTCTAGTGAATAGAGGGTATTCTATTATTTACTTATTATTATTATTTTATTTATTTATTTTTTGTCAGCTTTGCGGCGTCTTCGAGGCTGTGAGGTCCAGAGCAGTGAGCTGGATGAGATTCTGGAGGAACAGGCAGATATTAAAGGCATGAGACCAAAGCGGCCGTGGGAACTTTTCGCTGATCGTTCTGTGCGCTGGCAGCTCATTTCTGTCATCATCATCAGCAGCGCCATGCAGCTCTGTGGAAACGATTCAGTAAGAACCCCTGTGCTGGGTCTGTCACTGTGACAATCCTGTAGACGTTTATCATACATGTTGAAGATATTGTATATAAAAACTTCCCTGGATGTGAGGTTTGGGCATTGTTAGAAACATTCATTAGTGTGCCTAGGAAAGCTGCAAAGTTCATGTTGGGATTTTCTCTACAATTTGTTCTTCTCAGGTTTTATTAATGTAAGCTGGCGTTGAAGCACCATAATTAGCACATAATAAATATGTAAAAGACCCCTATTTCTTTTTAATGTACACCCTATTTTTTCTTAACTTACAGTAACTAAAGTCTTTGAAGCAGCAACCATACACTGTATACTTTCCTTGAAAGTAAAGGTTACCTTTTGTAATTTAAAAGTAATTTTATTACCCAAAACCTACACTGTAAAAAAAAACGGCCTCATTTTACGGTAAAAAACTGGCAGCTGAGTTGCCAGAAGTTTACCG